GGGAAGTTCAACCAGTATAGTGAAGTTTATTTAACCAAATCATGAGCAGCAAGCCTCTTTCTCCAAACAAACCCAACTATTGTCCTTTACTTTCCTATCTTGACTATCAAATCTTCCAGTAGAAATATATAAAAATACATTTAACCAACAGCGTTGAACCAAATTACCTAGAAGTTAGTAAATTAGATGCCCAACCCTTTCACTCCAGTTTAAAATAAACATACCATTTACTAACACACTTCTAGAGACCTCAGATGATTCTAAAAGAAGTGGGTTAAAGACTCCCAGAAGTAAGTGTGTCCCTGTAATGCATAGGCTCACCCATGGGGAGGCTGGCAGAGGGTACCCATACCCACAAGCTGCCAACTAGCTAGACATTGCAGCCCCTACCACTCAGGCCCCTTGGAAGGCAGGACTTAATTTATTATTCTATTATAGTTGTCCTAATTTTCCCCTTTGTCCTCTTCCACCCAGCCCACCCCCACTCCCACAATAAATTCCTACACTGTCGTCCATGTCCATGTGTCATTCACACATGTTCTTTGACTAGTCCCTTGTCCTTTTTTCCCTCCATGTTCCCCTCCCCTACCCTCTGGTTGCTTGGTTGCTGTCAGTCTGGTCCATGTTTCCATGCCTCTGGTTCTATTTTTCTTGTTAGTTTATTTTGTTCATTAGATTCCACTTATAGGTGAAATCAAAATGAACAAAGGACCTAAATAGACACTTCTCCAAGGAGGACATACAGATGGCCCAGAGACACATGAAAAGATGCTCAACATTACTAGCCATCAGAGAGATGCAAATTAAAACCACAGTGAGATATCACCTCACACTGGTCAGAATGGCCATCATTAATAAATGAACAAACAGCAAGCGCTAGTAAAAATGTGGAGAAAAGGGAGCCCAGTGCACTGTTGGTGGGACTAAAAACTGGTGCAGCCACTGTGGAAAACAGTATGGGATTTCCTTAAAAAGCTAAAAAAGGAACTGCCTTTTGATCTAGAAATTCCATTGCTGGGAATATACCATAAGAATCCTGAATCACCAATTCAAAAGACTCTATGCACCCCAGTGTTCATAGCAGCACAATTTACAATAGCCAAGTGCTGGAAACAGTCTAAGGGCCCGTCAGTAAATGATTGGATCAAAAAACTGGTACATTTATACAATGGAACACTACACAGTAGAAAGAAAGAAGGAACTCCTGCCTTTTGTGACAGCATGGATAGAACTGGAGAATATAATATTAAGTGAGGAAAACCAGTCAGTGCAAGGCAGAATTTAGATGTTGACAAAGTGAAAGGCATTTCAGGAGCACTTTGGTGCTCTGACAACAGACATGAAACCACATGGACATCAGCAACCACAAACACATATCTGTCTTCACCAGTCGCCTTTCTCCCAAGGAGCACAAGGAACATGATGCCATGGGGAGTCCAGAAGATCATCAGTGACATGCTTTGGCAGTAAGTAAGTTCAGGGCCTTCTCCAGAATACTGTCATTGTCCAGCCATGCCCCTGTCTAGCTCCTTCTAACTAGGAGCTAACTAGGGGAAGAGGCTGCTTGGCACTGGCAATCACATTGGGATGCTGAGGGAGAGCCACCTTCCTGAAAGGGCAACTTGAAACTACCCATGCCAAGTCCTAATGCCCCATCCTAAATCTCTCCTACAGTTTATATCCATTGGATATATATTCCACCCCACATACACAAATGGCAACAGGAGACCCCTGGCCTTCCCCAGCAAGATTGAGAAAATGCCAATTAGCATTAGTCTAGTGGATGCTGCTGGCTGTGGCAGTGAGTGCAGGGTTAGGGGCAAGGACACACTACATTGTTTCTTCGCTCAGTGCCTGGCTCATATCCAGTGAATAACTGAATCAACCAAGAGGCAGAAATTGATGGGGGAAACTGTTCCCAAGGCATAGTCCCAGACAAGGATACTCTGAACATACAATTTCTCTGTAGACACCTAACACTTTTCCCCTGAGCTGCTGGGAAGTGTTCACTCTGTAGAAGCTATGAGAAATCCACTTATACTAACAGGCATCTTCTTGTAACAGTGAAGTGCCTATAGAAAGGGTGGCATTCAGTGCCTGGTAAGATCATGGGGTCCCCAGTATAGCACTACGGACATTTGGGGTCAGATCATTCTTTGTTGTGGGGGCTGCCCTGTGCATTGCATGATTTTTAGAGCATTCTTGGAGCAACTCCCTAGTTGAGTTGACTAAAAAAACATCTAATGACATTGTCAAATATTCCCTAGAGGGTAAAACCACCCCTGGTTGGGAACCATGAATGCAAATGAATCAGATTGCTCTTCCAGTATCGTGTAAAGGGAACTGGTATTTCTTAAAAGAAGTTCTAGGAGGATAAATAGGTAATCGGGAGGTAAGAAGCCTAGTGAAAAAGCACATTCCTAGGCAGGAGGACTGCATGTGAACAATGGCTGCACCCATGGTGTTACCTAGATTTGTATCTTTGTCCAGCAGAGAAGTCATTTTCTTCCTCACCCTATCACTTCCCTCTTTGGAGTATAAACTAGGTTAATGGTCCTAGTCATGAAATGGAGTTACAGTTTGGGCCTGAATCATCTGTCACCATGTAAAAATACATCTTGAATTTGTGAAATGGCAAACAGAGCCCATTGTTAAGCTGTGCAATATCCACTTCCCATTTTATTTAGGAAAAAAAAATCTAAGCCTTGAGAAGCACCAACACCCATATTGAGCTCTCAGGGGCAGAACTTTCAAGTGTTTATTAACAAAATTAGACACAGGCAGTGAGTGATAAAGACCTCTGCAGACACAATTTTAGCTATTGATTATCTTCACTTGCCATGCAGGGTGTAGCCCTGAAGGAACATCTGAAAGTCATTGAATTACTTCTGGAATTAATTAAATTCAAGAATGGAAGACCTTGCTACCCAGCAGCCCCTGGAGCAAGGTGAACACAGGCAAACTTCTGTCCCTGAAGAGGGGCTCCACAAGACCCACTTCTAAATGTAATAGAATATACATTCCAAGTAAAAACATACTTGAATTTTTTTCTCTCTTTGTAAACTTGTCTTTCAGCTACCATTCTCATCTGGTCCTTACACAGTGTTATTGTATATGTGCCCATCCCATCACTGACTGTGAGGGGAGCTTCCAGTCTGGGGACAGAGACCAGTGCTTAGGCGCTAAGGCAACAATGGATGGGGACAGTGAGAGAAGGCATGGCCAGGTCTGTAGTGAGGAGTGGAGGAAGGAGCCACCTCACCTATCCAAAGAAAGGCAAGTCAGGTGGAAGAAAGATGATCACTGAAGCAAATCTTAGGGGAGGACAGGGGTGGGTGGAGCCAGGTTCAGTACTAGAAAAGCAGCCTTAGTTGCCGCAGTGCAGTAACTGGAAACATTTTGGAGCTTGGAGCAGAAAGTGTAACATGGGAAACTTGGAAAAATTCATGGTAGTTACTCCATGGAAACTGAAGAACTACCTATTGATGACAATGAATGGGATCATTTTACCCATTTCCCCCAAGGACAGGGGTTGGCATTTGTAGTCTTTGCTCTAAGGCCTAGGCAAAGCAATGATGGCAGATTCTTCTGTAGTTCTGAAACTCTTGCTGTCTCTTCTCTCTTTAAACTCAGAATTATGTGTATTTTCTGTTCAGAACTTTAGAAGAATTCGGGCCCCCTTCAGGTAACAGTGTGTGTGTTGGGAGGACGGCGCTGTGATATGTAGGCTTCAGGGCACCAGTGTACAGTGAATCTGGACACCACAGGTACCAGACTGCTGGGACAACAGGGAGCCACAGGGAAACCACTGTGATGTGATGAAAGTCACATTTACAGGACTGCAGGGGAATGTGAACCAAATTGGGGATCCAGGGAGGTGGAGGAAGGAAACAGCAGAGGACAAGAGAAAGCAGGAGGGAGAAAAAGGAAAGAGGTTATTGGGGCTGAAGCATGATTCTGATCTCCTAAGAGCTCCCAGGGGCCCTGGGCTGGACTACACCATACCCACCAAATGGCTGCACCCCCACATTTGTGGTCTCCTTAAATCAGTTACCAGAGAGCCCTGGTCTTGACACGCACTCTGATGGGCTGAGTATTGTGAGGGAATTCTGCCTCTTTTGCCTACCACCAAACCCAACAATTTATAAGTACCTAAATTCACCATTTCCAAGGCTTTCACTAAAAGCTACCAGATTCATATATTATAAAACTAGCTCAGAACAGAAAGTTCCAGTGGCCCTTGGTCTATCAGGTATTAATCACACAGCAGTTTAGCAGAATGTTAGTTTTTTATTTTCTAGAGGAGGAAGGGGGTTCAGAAGAAGCTGAAAAAACTTAAAAAAAAAACCCAAAGAGCATTACTAAGGGCTATTCTGTAAGCCCCCAACACAGCCCAACCTGCCTTGCTACCCCTGAGGAGGCCTTAAGCCCTTGCTGTCTCACTGCTACCCCTCCAGCCTGCTCACATGTTCGGCACTGCTGAAATTCCTCAGAGTCTTACAAATGCAGATAGTGAGCACAAGTGCATTTAAGAACAGGTCTCTCTGTAACAGCATGGATGGGTCTCATAAGTGTAATGTGAGTGAAAGAAGGCAGACACCAAAAAGCACCTACTGTATGATTCTATTGTTATGAAGTTCGAAAGTAGGTAAAACTAATTTGTGCTGACAGCCATCAGGCAGTGGTGACCTTCTGTAGGGCATGCCTGGAAGTGGGGCCTGAGTGTGTTCCTGGAGGATGGTCATGTCTCCGTTGATTGGGCACTGGATACACAGGTATGTTCAGTTTGTAAGAATTCACTGAGCTGAACATTTATAATGCATATGCTTTTTTCTAAGTATATTAACCTTCAATATGAAGCTTTCATACTTCTGAACCTCAATGGGTGGACTGACATGAGAAGCTGTTCTGCTTTGTGGCCTTCACAGGCAACCAGCCACACTTTCAGAGCCTGGGCCAGAGGCCTAAGCAACACTGAAGAGGCCCAGGACCACCCTTACCTGCTGCACCCTGTTCTCTTGCCTCCTGCTTTGACTCGGGCGGTTGATGAAAGATCGTGTGGACACTTTGTAGTGATTCAGCAGGCAGACAATGACCACGACCATCACTGTAACCGCCACAATGATGATGATGATCTGGGCGAATTCCAGCTCCGCTGCAATGAAAGAGGAAACTGTGTTAAACCACATGCCCATTTGCATCATCACCCACTCAGTTCTCCAGATCTCATCTCCTCAAGGCACTATGATTACAACAACCACCAGGCATCAACAGCCACTTGCATGAATCTGGTCCTCATAAGAACCTCATGAAAGTGAAACTATTTTCCACAGGCCTGCTGCCCAGGGCTACTGCCAGTCTTTGACATTCTAATAACATTTAAATAAAGGGAGACTCAGGCATGGGGTTCACTTTCCAGAAGACCTCTGGTGCTCAGACAAACCTTGTGTTTGCAATTTTGTAATGAGAAGAGCAGTAGGAAAATGTCTTCCATTGGTCTTACAAGACCTGTAGAGGTGCTGTGCTGTAAGTTATACCATTATACACATGAAACTCAAAGACCAGCCCAGTGCGTATGACACAGGCTGGCTGCCACCTGGGGTACCCTTTCCTACTGTGCAAGCAAGCCCTTAAGGGCCATATCTTGGGGTATAAAAAGTTCAGTGCTCTCCATCACCTAAACTCCATCCTGTCACATGACATCCTCCTCTGTGTGTTCTTAGAGGAGTTAAGAAAGCCTGTCAAAATTGGAGCTGTTTCTCACAGGGTAAACTCTCTAGGAAAGTTAAACTCATCTTTATGGTTTTGTCAGGTTTCCCAAAGCACACCCACACAGGATCCACAGAAAATATGTTTTAAATTTTTTATTTTTATTTTTTTAAAATATTCAAGATTGTACTTATTTATTTTTAGAGAAGGAAGGGAGGAAGAGAGAGAGAGAGAAACAACAATGTGAGGTTGCTGGGGGCCATGGCCTGCAACCCAGGCATGTGCCCTGACTGGGAATTGAACTTGCGACACTTTGGTTCACAGCCTGCGCTCAATCCACTGAGCTATGCCAGCCAGGGCTAAAATATATGTTTTAAAAAGCCCCAACCTCCTTGCCTCAAAGCTGCTGCCTTTAGAAGTAATTTAGAAAAATAACATCTTCACTGTCTCCAACTCTGCAGGCACCATATTCTGTGAGCAATCAGGTCACCACTGGGTTTCTGACAATGCCGTTACAAGAGATTTTCTAAATTCCATTAACACATGCTTCACACATGTGCATAGTGCCATGGAGCTATGTCTACAAAACAGCACAATGCATTGGGGATGAGAGGAGTAGATGATTCAAGCCCTTCAGTTTTGCAGGAAGAAAACAAGCTCTAGGTCAGCTCTAGAACCTAGACCCTCTGCTTTCTGGCTTCCAGCTCATACTCTGCTGAGTGCTGGCTACCTGTTTTCCTCTCAGTCTCCCCATGCACTGAAAGGAAGAGACTGTTCATGCAGGAACATCAATTTAAAGAATGAGAGACTCAGGTAAATGGTAAGGAGAACGGTGTACAACTTTTGTTGTGAGATGGGCAGTTATGGGGTATAATGAAGGGCAACAGAAAGAGGGGAGAGTTCTTTTGATTGTGCTACTGACTCAAACTTGCAACACACACACATGCACACACACACAGGATCCACAGAAAATATATGTTTTAAATTTTTTATTTTTATTTTTTTAATGCACACAAAGACACATGAATGTGTGCATGCACATGTGCATGACATGTGTGGACACGCATTGGCATGATGCATCTGTGCACACATATACACATGGGCATATAAATACACATGTGCATGTATATCCACAAGGCGTGCACACATGTACATGTACACACAATGTGCAGCCTCTTGCTGCAGTAGGGCTCAGGCCACTGGCCAGTGGAGAAGCATTATCTCTCAGTAAATGGGCTCACACTTGGGATGATGCAAAAGGGGACTGGGTATCACCCTCCTGCTGATGTCTGCTTATTCCATCCACACCCTGAGAACAAAGGGACAGGGGCTGGGACATATGGGGGTAGCTGGAGGGTCTTCCTGAATTCCACCATGTCATGTCCTATAGTTCTGTCCTCCACTCCTATCCTCAACCCCTACATACCTGAAGGACAGAGATTTACATAGTGCCTTCTGGATGGGGCGGATTGCACTTGGCACTGGGCCTGTAGGGGTGCTAGTCCAGAGGTGCACCTTGGAAATTGGAGACCTGAGTATGAGAGAACTGAACTGCTGAGCCCCATGTGGTGAGCAGTTGAGGCCAGGTAGGTCTGCCAGGTGTACCCCTTGCTGGCAGTAAAAGGGCAGATCCCAGTGGGCACAGCTGACTGTGGAGGCTCAGGCAGCAATGCCAGAGCAGTTCTAGAGACCGGCACTCAGCAAGACCCAGGTGCTAGGCTCCTTACTCCCCCCTTCATAGTAGCACTGCTCTGTAAACTCCTGAGGTCTAATGGCTGATGGCAAGGCCTCCAGAGGACCTGGATGAACAGTTCATCCCCAATGGCTTGAGCATCTACTTCCTGTGGGGAAAAAGCCCCCAGGGAGTCACCAAATTTATGTATACCAAACCCCTTCTCGGGACTATAAGAAATCTTCATGATGGATGCCTCCTGGGCTGAAATTTCTCCCAGAGGGAATAGGCTGGAAACCTTTGCATTTGGGGTACAGATATAAGTATGGCCTCATTTACCCTTGTGGGCTATGGGATGTGTCGCATGCTTGTTAATCCAGAAACACTGTCTTCATGACTTTGCCTTTGCATATAACATTTCCATGTCTAGGACATCCTGTGTCTTGTGGAGTCTATGTCACATGGTGCCTGTGTGAAGCCATGTGATTGGATCCCTTTCTTCATCACTTAAGACATAAGATGTTGACTGTGCCTTTTGAATCTGTCTCTTACACGAAACTATGATCAGAAACCTATTTCTATTTATTTTATATTTTTGGTATCAGGCTTGAGGTGGTGTCTAGAAGGTAGTTAAGTTACTTCATCACTAAGAGGGGAAACAATGAATGACTCTGGAGCACACATGTTGAGACCAAGACCTCTCTTCTAGAATGTATACCTCCACCTGCACAGGTGTGCTCCCTGCGAGGACAGCTACTGCTGACAGGACTAAAGCCTGCATTGGCCGAAGTGTACAAGTAGTGCAACTCAGGAGAGCTGTGTGGATCTGTGCAGAGGGGTGATCTACCAACCCAAGGCCCATCACCCCAGTAATGAGCAATCATTGACCTAAGCAGGCAGTTAATTCTACTTAGGTCAGAGGTAGCCAACGTAGCATGAAGACTGAACCTCATAATGCCTTGTTTTACCCACCTTTATTTCTATTTTGTGGGTGAACTGCAGAGTTCGTCCTTTCAGGTTAAATCATACCCTGAAACTGACAATTTTTTTCCCCTCAAGAAAACTTTACTGCTTTATAGCTATGGAAAGAGAGGAAAGTGCTAACTGCACAGAAGGATGCCACACAAAGTCTTCATGGGTTAATTCTTCACTTGGAGAATGTCTTCCTAGGTTATCTTTTCCTGAATATGAAAAGCTATAGAGATAAATATTTATAGCAGAGCAATCCAATTATATATTCATAATTCTATGGACACATTGGGCTAGATCTGTGTTTTACTTGAAAAGGATTTTTATTATAAAATGACCTTTAAAATTTAAACAGTATAGAAGGAAATAGTGCATAATGCAAAAGTTCCCCTTTATGGGCCTGCAGCACTCCAACAACCCCTGCCCCATTCAGCCCCATGAGGTGGGGGGCACAGTTCACCCACTGTGTTTATTTGTGCATTTGCCTATTGAATAAGGGCTTTCTTCTTATTTATAAATGGAATCACTGTACAAATATATTGTTCTGGTTTTTGTCACTTAATACATCACTGATATCTTTAAACAAGAATATATATAAACCAATCTCACTCTTTATGGTGGCTATCTATCCCAGAATATGAATATACTAGAACTCACATTTTCCAAATGATGGATGTTTTGGTGTTTTTTTTCTTCTCCCATTATGATCAGAAGATTGTGTGTGCATGTATATGTGTGTGAGTGTCAATGTGTGTTTTGACCCACATTTGTAAGTATTCCTATAGGAAAGATTTCTAAAATTAAACTTTCTGGGCCAAGGATATATCCTTCTAAATGCTGATAGCTGCTGGAACCCTGCATTATAAAAAGGCTCTTGACAAGGAAAGGGCACGCTCCTCCACACCTTCATTAACACTCAACACTCACCCTTTTCATTTGTATTCATCTGATGCACAAAAATATGTATCTTGTTTTAATTTGTATTTCCCCAGTTACTAGGAATTTTAGATCTTTTCCTATGGTTATCGGTAATTTATAGTTTTCTTTTTCAAAATCATATTAGTTTATTTGTAGTTTTCCATTACTTAACTTTCATTTATTTATAAGCAGTATTTACATATTATGGCTATAAATATTTATCTGTTACATGTGGCACAAATATTTACTCCTAGTCTTTATCTCTTTAAACTTTGCTATGAGTTTCTTTATAGAAAATATAAATTTTTACATCATCAAATACTGTCTCTTTTTCCTTTACAGCTTTTAAGCTTCCTTAGACTGTCTTCTCCGCTATTCTAAAAATATTTTTCTTCTAGGATTTTTGTAGTCTGTATTTATATGTTTAGATCTTTATTCACTCTGGATTTGATTTTTTTTATCTGAGGCAGCAAATAGAACATTTAATATTGTCTGAAATGCATACATCTTCTGATCTAACATCATATTAAAAAGTTCATTGGAAGCAAGGGTAAGAAAGATCTCGGTTGTGGGAAGCAGTGTACCAAACTGCCACCAACTTTCTTTAAAGGGACTACTTGCTCTTAGGCTGCTCTTCACCAGCTTTATTGTCAACATGCAGACCCGCTGGGCCCTGCCCTGCTCTGATGAGGTGCTGGCACCTGGAAGACCCAACCCACCTCTCAATGTGTCCATACCTGCTGCATTTTCTTCCTCAGTTCCACCCTCTTGGTCTGCTTAGACCAGCAGCTCTCAAGTAATTTGGTCTCAGGACCCCTCTATACTCCTAAAAATTACTTGTTACTCCCAAAGAGCTCTGTTTGTACAATGGTATCTATCAATGTTTC